GTGATCGCCTAATCTACCACCTCCCAAATGACGCTTCTAATTAATTACATTTCAGACATTACTTTTATTTTATTCAAGCAAATTTATTTTTAATAATCTAACAAAATAAGATTCTGTACCACGAATGGTCAAAAACAAAAGTACTTTTACACATTAGTAATAAATTGTGACACTAATCACGGTTATAAAAGAAAACGTATTCAATATATAAAATGACGTTATTATTCATTACTACTGAATTGCAACTATCAAGGTGAAGGGCTTGTCGGTACATTGCCACGACTCTGCGAAAACTGGACCAAAAAATAGAATGATAAAAAAAAAAAATTCCTTACGAATTAATTCAACGATATATGTATTGAAAATAAGTAAGCTCCTCGTACCTATCAAGAAATGAATGGATACATAAAGCAATAAATGTAGTATAGTTAAGGTTTCGTAGAAAATAACAGTTATAGCAGTTAATTAAAATTGTATCACTACTGTTCACACGTACAAGTAGACTCACCTACAACTTGTTATGACTTAGAGTGAAAATATTATTCTGGTACAAAAAACTTACTGCATATTATGTGTATGAGTTAGTTATAAGATTAATAACAATTGCGCCTTGTAGTATGTAACATCGTTCATAATTTCGTTGGCTTCCGCTGTCGGTATTGAAAATATGATGTTAGTAATAGAACACTTGTATCTTGAACTTTGCTATTTAATAATAATGTGCAGTATTTATCCAACAAAGGCAAGAAATATGATCTAGCTGTCAAAATGTAAATAAATGATGAATTTTTAATTTATATAAAATAATCCGTGATCGAATTCAGGGTCTCGATTTTCATGGGCGCATGAATTTGACCTTGGTTATATAGTCGTGTCTTGAAACTATTTATTTCAATAATGTTTTAAATAGTATACCTATAAATACATGAATTTTTTCATTCGTGTCATTAAAAAATTATAAGATATGTAGGTGTGAAGAAGTTCCACTTTTAACTGTCTATAATATTATTCAGCACAAATTACCCTTTTACGCTATAGGTGTAATAATTAAGTAATTTAATGATCAGTGCTGAAATTATATCATTTTTTGTATTACACATTATTTTTAAATCGCTAATCTGCATCCTAATCAGTTTTTATAAAAATGACACATTTTTAAATTTTTGTTTAAATAGGAAGACAAGTTAAAAATTATAATCCACGATAAAATTAGATGCTGAAACCAAAAATATGATTTTAATACATCTCCAGAATTAATCAATCAACATTTGATATAAGACTTTATCGTACTTCAAATTTACTTTCAAAATTAATGATTGAAATTTCGAACACAATATCTTTTATCCAATACTAATACTTCAAAGAAACTTAAAGTGTTATATATATTTTTTAACTGCTAGTTACATATAGTATATCGTAAAAATTATTTGAATAATCGAAAAATTTTTTTCTAACCACATAATCAAAATATAAACAGAAGAAGACTAGAAACATTAATAGATAAAAATTGGTTAGGGAGTTGAATGTATGTAAAAATGTTTACGATTTGAACTATAAACAAATATTTATGATAAAGCGGGGGTGTTCGTGAGAAATGGATAGAAAAGGGAAGAGGAAATAAAATATACCAAGAAACCAGTTTAAATGTCCACCCCCCTTTTCGTTGCATTCTATAATACAGTACGTGTGATATTCAAGACGTAACGATTGTAAATGAAACTGCACTAGGAGATAAAAAGAAAAATAAATAATGAAGGAAAAATGTCTCCGTTGCTGTGCAATAAATCACTAATGCATACATTTTTATGCTTATTACGATTATAGTAAAATTACAGGTCTTAACGGTCAATAGTCCTACGAATATACCTAACAATTATGGGAATTAGGAGTGAGGTTAGACACAAATAAAAATTGTAGTTTTACGCTTACTAATTGAAATATTACTTCAAAACTACTTTATTTACTATATAAATACGTAGAAATTTGCCATGGGGATATATATATATATAAAAAAATTTAACTATACCCACTAACAACTTTAGGTTTTTGGGATAGGAACAATGGTAAAGTTCCCGTTTGGCTGGAAATCATACCATGACTTTTTTTTGTATTTTAACAATTTATCTTTTATCTATTAAAAAGCAAATTGGGCCAGTTTGATTAATTTTTCCAGATCGGTTATTTCTAAAATGTGCCGCTGTCACAAAAAAAAGTGTAAAAACTACTTAATTATTATAATTAACATCTTTTCATAATTACATTTAAATCTGTTATAATCCAATTTAGTAATCTAATAATCTATTGCAATATATAAATCAGATGAGAAAAATATTACCGTTATTGGATTATTTTTAAGTAAGATAATTATACCAACAACTTTTAAATGAAATAAGAATCGTGGGAATTGTTATATTTTTAGCATTATTAATTTTTAGTATCATCTTAACACCTATTTTTAAGACTATGTTTTACTATTTAAAGTAAAACTTCACCCTTCATAAACCATTTGACCCTATTTTATGACCACTATAACGCCCCTGACCTTTTAGTAACGAATAATACTGTCATTATTTACATGTCCTGTAGGAATATAGCCTACAACTACTACCCTGAACAAATTGCTGCAACTATTTCACATAGATAGTATTGTACCCCAATAACCGCTACCACCACATTTTACTTTCAATGAGCCTAAAAAAGAAATTGCAACTCATCACAATAGGTCTATACGTTTAGTACTGAGAAATACAAGGCTAGTATTTCTGAGCTGGCCGATTATTGTGACGATATTTTGCGACAATCATAAAGGGGTAACTTTAAAAAATAACAATTTTAGAAAAAAATTACACAATATGTGCAGAGTGAATACAAACGATCAAGTAGCAAAAAGGCGGCTTTTTGTGAAAGAGAAAAGACACGATTTGAGAACTTGCAGAGCAATTCAAAAACAACCGAGGGTCTGATGCAATAAATAGAAATAAATTCTATTTAAATTCAGCATTTTTAAAAATACACAATAGACAAGCTAACAGAATTCTTGCTTTTGTTTACCTAGACATAAAATATTTACAATATGTCGACATTTTCAAATATTTAGATCTAAGTACACATGTCCTCGTTCTTGTATAGTACAATTTTACATTTGAAATTACAATACTTGTATTGTATAGAATATTTGGATTTACATAAATTCATCAGGCGCCAATTTATCGTGGTCTAATTAATTACGCGTCATTTTATTGCAAAATTTCGTCAAATAAAAATAATGATAATAATCACATTAAACACTATTTACTAAAAACATTTAAATAGTTGCATAAAACACTTATCATAGTAAAAACGATCGTTGTTTACATGTATAAACAAAATTGATGAAATTTACAATTGCAATTGAAAGTTATGAGTTATTCCTTGTAACATCATTTATTTGTTTTATCGGAGACCTGCAGTTTAAAATACGTCGTGAAAAATTAAAAAATATCCTTTTATTAGCGCTTCAGGAAATTTAAAAGCTATTGCACTCAAAACGCCTTCTTCAAAATCAACCAATTGTTTTAGGACTTAGATTTATTATTTAAAAATGAATTTAATATCACTTAGATTTATTATTATTATACCATATCATTATTGATAAGCAATAGGATATAAGTTCATACACTATATAAATTAAAAAATTCCATGTTACGCGATGAATTGGCGCGCTATTAATCCGAACTCATTGCAAATCAAGACAATTTTTTTAGTTATTTTATGTTCAAAACTAGATAATGAATGGGAACTGAAATACAAATTTATAATTAAAAATTGTATAATACTACTTTAATCGTACATTTCAACGATCACTCGAATATCAATTTTTTTGTTTTAGCGACTGGTTATGTCTATAGCAGCATCCTCAAAATGATAAGATTTCTTATCGAAAAAAACTACGAAACTGACTGTAATAATAGATAAGATGTCGCCATAAAGATATAACGACTCCAATTACCGAGTTAAGCAATTGCTCAGCGAGCGAAGCTCTCCGAGACCGAACCTCGATCTGGTATCAGTTTGCATCAGACATTGTCGCATTATCGATTCGGCTACATCGTACCAATTCAATGTCTGATGAAAAATAAGAAAATACTATACAATGTCTATTTCTAGATTAACTAGGCAAAATGATATACCTACTTCTATCACATACCAATCAGGAAATGGTTTTTCATAATTATAAAAGAAATGTTATCATGACAAAAACAACTGTGTGCAATAAATTGTTTATTGGTGGTCTTTTTTTCAGAATAATAAAAATGTTTTAGCAAAAATGTAAATTAATTTTATTAAGTTTTCTATCTATTTACTAAATTAAAACTTTTTAAGTTTACATATGTAAATATATATTATTTTAATAATAAAAATAAGCAAACTAAAATTTTACAAGTATATACAAAGTTTTGGGTTTATGATATTAATATTATAGCCTTAAGATATTTTATAATAAAATTGAAACATAAAATTTCTTTAATCAACTGATATGAAATTTGGAAAATATAATCGCAGATAAACATAACAGAAGTAAAGTAAAAAAATAAAATATTATTTTTATCAAACTGTTTAATTTTATCCATTTTTTTTAAATGCCCAATAAAACTTATATTATTACAATCAATGATTTTTAATGTATGTCAGCATCTAAACTTAACCTTAATCAAGTTACAGTAGTTTAATGTAAGCATATTAGTGTACATAACTAGTTTAATTGTACGAATTGTTGAAACCCGTTAAAGAGTGTACGGTATGTATGTGAACGGTTTCATAAAATTTTTTTTATTATACTTTTGCATAAACTTATTGTAACTTGCTGTAGTACACGTATGACCCCTCATGAGTGCATATACTCGGGGTTTCCCTTCCAGTCTATGTCCAGAAGTCCAACCGAGGAAGAAGTATCGGTGGAGGGATAGTAGAAGTACCGGCCGGTTCAGCTGATATTATGAATAATATCCGACGGTCATGCACACAGACTCGGAAGACCAGTGCTCAGTTTGCTTTAACATACTATTCGCACACCCCACACGGGCGACCGACAAACTGATAAATCATTTCTTAACTTTAATTATTTGTTACGCCAATAACATTTTTGATTAAATAATCTATTACAACACAGTATTTAATAGTTATTAAATTAATACATAATAAACTGCGAGATAACATTTTATTAGTTTAGCTTCCCAATTCAATTTAACGAATACTAAGGCAAGTGTGATAGCAGGTGGAAGGTTGATAACGTGCGTTCAAATCTCTATAAAAACGACCAATATTTGTTAGAATTTTGGTCTTCAAGTCATTTTAGCGTAAGTATTATTTTACGTCTTTATTTTTAGTATTATAATTATGAAAATTTTATGAGGAATAGTAACAGTTACTTTAAATATAAAATTACCAAAAAAATTTTACTTAGTAGCATACACTTCTAACCAAATTATATAAATTGGAAAAACAATTATCGTGACAGGACAACATTCTTAAATATAAAAAAACAACAAATTGAAAAAAACTATAAAATTTTATTTACTAATCATTTAAATGTATGAATATTTTTTAAACATGAAATACTAATACCTAACCTAATGAGTATTTAAAATTAGTAAAATGTTTACAATTTTTCAATTTATATATAAATCTAAATTAATGATAATTACTAGTCCCTTAAATGTATACTTAATTTGAATAATTGTATTGTGAATATTTCACTTCTTCGGCTAGTTTGATATAATTAAGTTCAGCGTTTCAATAGTCAATCTTTCGACTATGTAATAACTTTTTTTAAATATTAATAATAATAATAACATATAATAATATTCTTCTGAAAAGTTTTTATTGACCCCGGTAAAACACTATCACCAGATAATGTTTTTAGCATATCCTTGTCACGAACTATATCAATTCATTTGACACATATAATGAGCCCGAGCAATTCAATATATAGTAATAACAACGTGAAGTATAATTAAATTAAGCTTTGCAATATTTTGAACAAAATAGTTTGTATTTACTATTAGTCAGCTACAATTGACATTTATATAACATTTATGTGTATCAACTTACCATGAATTATTTATTGTAAAATTGTATGGTGTTTTTCGAATATCAATACTAGATCATGTTCATACAAGAATTTTGGAGTAATTTTAAGTTATAACATAATGCTAATCAGTTAATAATTATAACAAAAATCATATGTGCAAAATTATGACTCTTGACATGTTATTAGATCAAAAATTGATTAAAAATTGAAGTATTATTAAAAATTCTATTGAGATAAATAGTGTTGCGTCTTATGTTACCGTTTTAAACGTTGTATTCAAACTAAATCCCCAAAAACTAACAAATATATAGTGTTAAGTAAATAAGGAAACAGGTTTCTATTTTTCTCATTGTTTATAACAATTAACCTGATTCCTTACTTATTGAACACCCTCTATAGTTATTTTAGTCTAATTAGTCTTAAATTATTAATTTTAGAAAATGCCATTCTTAACATAAATAATTTGTCAAAAAACCAAGTAAAAAGTAAGAAAATCATGCAATTATAAATAATAATAACATTTTTTTATGTAAAATTAACTCCATTTTTCTCGTAATACAGATAAGATTTTTATTTCTTTTAAATAAGTCATAACCAAACTACCTAATCATTTTCGACCTCCTAATTATTCTCCATAAAGAGACCAACTAAACTTAAGTGTATTTTCAAACGATTTTTATTGAGTAAGCAAATCTAATGAACATCTAAAATAATATAATAGTTCGAGTCATTTAAAAATTAAAAATTTGATATTTTATGAAAAAATTCAGGTTGAAATTAAAAATAGAAAAATAAAACAACTAAGTGACAATGTATAAAAAAATTAATAAATAACTAGTTAATCTTAATAGATTAATTATTTCTTAAGGCAATTGTTTCATTAATAATTAATACAAAAATTTATTATAAAATTCTGTGTATTTAGGTATTTTCATTTTCATAGTTTAGTTATTTAAATTTTGTCATACAAAAATTAGATACATAGTATATAATTTTTTTCAATAAATTTATTAGCTGGCTAACGTTTCTTATGCCTTACGAAAATAATTCTTAAGATAATGTTTTGTTTCAAAAATATTTTATTAATTTTTAATTGAACAAATGAAAAATTATGTAATCATAAATAAATTACTTATGATAAAATTAACTTTGCACCTACCATATGATATCAATAATCGTTCTTTACTACAAGTTGTAAATTTTTATATAAAATTACTTTGTATAATCAGTTTAAATTCATCAATATTTTTACATTTTATACACATTAAGGAATATATAGATATTAATTTCCCCACTTCTTAAAAGTCACATGTTAAGGTATTAATATCAGGTACATGCTTTTATTAAATGATAAAATAAAAAAAATTCTGGTGATTTTCGTTTTAATATTTGGTTAGTTAATAATAAGTAGTCAATAATTATAGTACAAATATTAAAAAAGTTATTTTTTGATCAATGATAATTATCATATCGCGTGATTAAAAAATTGTGATGAAAACCTAATATTAAAATATATTGTGTAAAATTCAAAATAATAATGATGGTAATAATTATCATTATACTAACAACTAATAATAAGTTGTCAGCTTGATGCCTTTTATATAATTATCGACTGAAGCTTTATTTTAGAAATAAACATCTTCAAGTTATGCATTTTAAATATTTCATTGATAACTTCATTCTGATCAGTTAGCCAAAAAATGTCTTTTATTTTTATATTACTCTAAAATCCGTTGTTATTCTTGTAAATGTTTAATAAATATTGACATAAAGTTCAGGCTTTTGCATGTTTTTAAACAAAGTTTAATGCTGTTGAGAAAATTGTCAATGATAACAATGACTACGTGACCATACCGAACTCTCATGAATTTTTCTTTTACGATACCATACCTACCGAAGGCTTCGATACCGTGTGGTCCACATAACTGTTTGAATTCGCATGAGACTTATATTTCAAGTGAACATTCCATGTTTATGACCCTGTCTTTGATTTTGATAGCTATTGCGCCATGGAGACGCCGACATCCTATCAGTAAGTTATTCTTAGTCGGATACGGTTTAATTTTAAATCAAAGCTTTGTAGATTTAAATTGAAAATTGTGTTCAGTAAATAAAGCTAAAATAAATAGAAACTATATAACTTCATTCATTTCTTTTAATTATTTTTAAGTAACATTTGATATTCAAATTACTTTTTAGTGTGCATTGTCTGAAACATTAAAGGTGTTTTGTTAAATTTTAACTAGAAATAATTAACAGTAAATATAATAAATTGTTATTTGGTTTTTAGTGCAATGTTATTTGCATAAATTAAACATCAACAACCAATTAAAAAAACACAAGTTCTCTGACCTTCACGTTTATCTGACCCATTATTTATCCCCCATTCGCCATATGAGAGTTTGAAAATGGTTATGATAGTAAAACAATGATTTGCACGTCCAAAAAAAAACAGACACATAAAAATTATAATTAACATTCTACTTAATATTTTAATTTTCAAAATCGCGAAGGATTTTAAAACCATACAAATTTAAAATATTTGAAAATTTTGCAATATTTATCTCTATGACACAGTAATATTTTATTATAAAGGTACTTAGCACATATTTATTTATCTAATTTTCACCAACTCCCAACTTTAATTAAAAATACCGAACAGATATTAAAATTTCCAACGTGTCTATACATACAAAGTAATTTCCGACAACGATAATTGTTGTCTGTAAACTGGTTAGTGCACAAAAAAATTACAATGAACAGATGCTTTAAGTGATAATAACTAATGTTCTATTTCCATCGTTATAATATTTGCTCGTGGCCAATTGTCCATGATCGATAAATAATTAATTCAACTGATATTATGGTAATAAAATCAACTTCTTTGTAGATAAAATCTGTAATGCATTTGAAAGTTGTTTAATGGCCATACACCTACACTTTTTGCTGGTGTTCAGGGCAAGACTTTTACTAGCAAAACAAATTAGGTTGGGGGTAGGTCGTTGTAGACTAAAATTAAACACTAATCCTCTAACTTTTCAGTCATAGTTAAATAGTTTCGGAAATTTAGTTCTAATAACCGAAAATAACTAACTCGAGATAATACATTTTCCCATAGTTTTTCCTAATTTAACAACTTTTACAAATCGCATTTGCTTAGAAAAAACACTTTGTGTAGTTGACATACTTCATGATATGAAGTAATATATATGATTAATAATGTCTCATATTGGCGTTCCGTGAATTTAATATTATCTATACTTCTGTCTCGATGGTTTATCTGATATCGACTGATGCATTCATTTCTTCTCGACATTGGCGACCGTTGGATCCAATCATACGTTCGATGTGTAACTATGTGCTTATGTGGCGTGTCAATATGATTTCAAAGAAGTCATTCGTCGATCTTGGTTGATGACAGTGGTCGGCTGCAATTAAAAGAAAATAAGGGGTAAGTATTCCTTAACAAAATTCAACACACGGCAAAGTATAAAATATCGATAAAACCAGTCGATCTGCGACGGCTGTGGATTATTAACGTTTAGCACACAACATATTCACATTACTACAAAGGTGTCTGCATTGAATTTCAAGCGATCGATTGCAAAAACCTGTTTTTTGTCCACACATGCATTTTGTTGAAAATTTTTACCCGCGACTGTACTTGATCTTGCTTTTACTGCAATCAAGATTATAAGTCATATTGTTTCAATCACAAATAAAGTCATTGTATCGTCGAAATACTGTGTGCTTCTTCTAGACTTTAACGTGAAATAATTTTGATTAGAATTATACTCAATTATAGTTATAAAATACTGTTGAAATGTTTCGAGTTAGTCCTAACGAATTCTTCACACGCTGGACTTCGAAAAACATTAGAAACTCGGGTATCACATGTAATAGGATTGTAATTTCATTTATATAGACGGACACTTTGATGCAAATATACGAGGAAATGCAAGTATGCAGATGCCAAATCCATATAGAAATCGAACAATAGAAAAATAAAGTTTTCTGTGCTCCTTTAATTGTTTTATTTACCATTTTTTCATATCGTTATTATTATGGGTATTGCGCCAGTCTAGACTTAGTTCGATGCGATAGATTCAACGTGTTTTTTGCCAAACAAAAGTTATTGTTCAGAGAGTAATACAATGTGAGTTGTATTCCGCCGAGGGGTTTTACGAAGACCCCAAGGAAAAATAATCATCGTCCAAACGAACAGAGTGCAGTATTATTTCATTTCTAACCACACTATTGGTAGTTGGGGTGAGGAGAGGTACATATAAGTGCATAATATTATGCATTATGCTTCGACCGCGAAACAATTGGGCCAGGTGTAATCGGTGTGTGCAGTTTTTATTTTTTAACGATGAAATAACTAAATAATCATAATTTAACCATCTACTTAATGAACACGAATTACGAATTTACATATATTTATACGCTGAGCACAGTAGATAGTTAGATTTCATTTATCTTCATTAATTAATTAATTACAAAGAAAGGGTTACAAAATAAGAGTTAAAAATAATAATTAGAGTAAAAATTTTGTGAAAAATATCCACAACTTTCCAATGTAAAGTTTTTCCATACGTTTTGTATTTTGATGAAATATCCCCCCGATTTTCATTAATGCCATACAAGTTATCTTGGAATTCATCTAAATCATATTACAGATAATATAATTTAACGCTCATATTACAACTATAACGATATATTACAACAAGGTATAATAGTTTTTAGCATACAATTAACGATAGGTTCTTAATTTTCACATTAATTGTTTCCTAAAAAAATTTCACTTGCATCCTTGAATGAAACCCAGGAATATTTTTAAATATTTGTGGTGCGATTCAAAAAAGTTAATATTCTTAATAAAAGTTTTTCACAAGATTATTCTTTAACATCTGATTACACCACCATGTCCAACGTAAAAATAGACTTAAATTCGTAAAACATATATTTACTTGATATTAATGTAACTGTGATGAAAAAGTAATTATACTAATAAAACAAACATTTTCATGAAATGTCGACATATACGTAAAAAATATATATAAAAAAAACCAAATATCGCACGTTAACACATACTACTCTTGTAAATTGACACACAGTGTTTAGTTTCTTAAAAAAATATATAAGGTTACAGTTTAGACTTTAAATCTTAATCTTAAGCTTAGTTAAGTCTTAAACCTAAGTCTAATCATGAGATCTCATATTTAATGCTTGATACAAAAAATATGTTTGACTAAAATATTTGTTTACAAGAACACGATAAAAAAAAGAATATAACAATAATTTTATTTCTAATATAATTTTCTTTTCATAGCATTATATTTTAATTAAACATAAAAAGTTTTCTGTACTCACTGCATATTAAATTTTGAAATACCTAATTAACAATACAAAATGTATTTTTGGAGAAACTATTAATTTTTAATTATTATTTTATGTGCATTTGAATTTTTTATTGTTATTTATTTTGTTTAAAAACTTTTATTAGTACAAGAAAAGACGGGAAACTCTACATAAGCCAGCTCAATGGAATCGAACCCGCGACACGTTACCGACGATATTATAGATAAAATATTTTATATGGTTATAATTCTAGGATTTAAAAAATGTTGATTAATTTAAATAAATTAAGTAAATTTAATAATATTTCTTGTAAATAAAAAAAATTAATACTTCTGAAATTAAGAATAATATTTCCTCCCTCTAATCCTGGCAACGTTATTATTTTATTCCGTAACTTACTTTTTTCAGGTTGAATTTTATAACAAAAACTATCGACATTGATCAATAATTAATAAAATTATTTAGTAATGCATGTTTGGTGTTGGGGATTTACCGGACCAACAGTGGTGGTCACATTTTTGAAACTTAGTCCTACTGGCCTGCTAAGTCCCAAATACCAGCAAGCCCTTCGACGACAAATCAATAAGTTTATTTCAAAAGTGATTAAGAATCCAAGGTATATTAGATTAAATTTTTATTTAATTATGCAACACGACACTATATAGTAAGAATCCTACATAAATCATATTACATTACAATTTGAAATTTTACAATCAAATTAAAATGTTGTTTGATCCTTGCCATCCCCAAAACGGTTGAATTCAATGATTCAATGATTGAACTCTTCTTAACAATTCAACTCAACTCTTAAAAATTAAGTAGATTCACCTCTCCTCTCTCAAAAACAAAAAAAATTCAAAACTTAGCCGATGATTTAAAATATACCTTAATGTTATTTATAAATAGCGTTGAAATATATTTGTCTAATCAAATATAAAATACTTTATATTTAATTATTATTGTAATGTTTTTAATTTTAAAATAGAAGCAGAAAAAAACCGATCAGAAGTTACAGTAACAATAACGAAAATCAGATACATGTTATTAAAAATAATAAGTTAAAAATAATAAACCATAGTCACATATCAGTCACAACATAAAAGTTTTTTTAGATTGTTCAGCTTGACTACACTGTCTTCGATTTAATTTGGACTAGGTTTTTAGCGTATAAAAATTTAAAATAAAGATATTATTTTAATTTTAATAACTACACTAATAATTTTATTGAAAGAATAATTTTTTCCAATTAAAGTGAAGTATTAGGAATTTTATTTTCTAACAATTTAACTAAAATTTTATTTAACATATGGATATTTTATTGGGGAATTCAATATACATTCAACAATGTCCATTTATTTAAGTAATATCATTGTTTTGAATAATTATACTGTTTTAAATAGATTTTTTATGGTTTTTAGCACCGTAATAACTTATGTTTAAATGTTTTATTTATATTACTTTAAAATTTTAATATATTTAAAATAAATTCAGTTCAATAGTTTCAAAAAATTCTGCGGAAGCAAAAAGTAATTTTCCAGTTTCAAAACTTTTTATTTAGTTCGTCACTTCTAAATCATGAATAGCATAAAAAAATCGTTTTCGTTTATAATTTTCAATTAGAGAATATAGAATATGTTAAAAAATATATTGTCTTGGTTGAGTGTTATTCAAATCATTATTTAAGAAAATTTGACATAGTTATGTATGTTGTAAAATATATATTGAGTGATTCTTTTGGTGCTAGCCACTCAATTACTCTTATAACAGTTATTTTTTTTTTTTTTTATGTTGGTATATATGTTTCTTCATTTATCTGTTATGATATATTTTTTATGTTCATCCCTTATGTACTATAGAGGCGTCATCTTTACTTTTTAAAATGTCTAATTAGCTTAAACTAGCTTATAAAATTTAACGTGATCTAACTTAGAAAATAAATAGTCAAAAAACTTTTGGTCTAATACTTTACAAGTTATTAGCATTTTAAAATATAGACCGAAGATGAAGAAAAGATGTTGCTATTTTTATCATTAGTCATTTCTTGGTCACTCTTTTCCTCCCACATAGATGCAAAATTGTCAATATCTTCCGAAGCACTAGTTTAAAAGTTGTTATCGACCTATAATCTTCTTAATTAGGTTAATTTAAATTAAAAATAGCAACATCTTCTCTTCATCTTCGGTCTATATTTTAAAATGCTAATAACTTGTAAAGTATTAGACCAAAAGTTTTTTGACTATTTATTTTCTAAGTTAGATCACGTTAAATTTTATAAGCTAGTTTAAGCTAATTAGACATTTTAAAAAGTAAAGATGACGCCTCTATAATACATAAGGGATGATCATAAAAAATATTTCATAACAGATAAAACAATTATTATTTTAAGAGAAATCGACTAGCTAGCGTTAAAAGAATTACGCTGTATAACATTTGTATTGTTTCTGTAGTAACTATGTAGTACTTTTACAGTCTTTCAAGAAGAAATACATCAATCTAATAGTTTTAATAGATTTCTGCTAGTTAAACAGGGTAAAAAAAGACTGTAAAAATTGTTTAGTATACAAGAAACATAACAACTTTTCTAATGCTAAAATTTATTCTACGTCTTTTTCTTATAGGCTGTTGTCAGTAGCAGTTTCAACTCAAACATAAAAAGGTGATTGGAAATTAAATTTTTAAAACCAATGGCTAATTTAATAGTAGTAAAATATAAAATTCGCAGTCAAAGAATTCATTATTAAGTATCATTCAAGCTTATATAACACACAATGATCAAAATTAAATGGTATTAAAGCGACCTCCTAAAATATTTAACTAAACTCTTAGCGTAAAACATTAACATAAAAGTTGAAGTTTTAAGTTTCCTTTCCCAAATATTACACATTATTTCTCCCCATAAGGACGTTGATTGAAAATATCTTCAAAAATACAAATTGTATTAAAACTACATTTTTACTAACTGTAGACTCATTTTCTCTTTTCTAGTAATAATAGTTTAACAAAATATTTTTTATTAAAAATGATAATTTTTCATAAAACATTATTATTTTATTTAGTTCAAGCCATAAAATTTGGTTATGTACTACCCTCTATTTAATTAAGTCATAATATTAAAAATATTTTTTAGATTTTGTTTTAATATTGATTTAATAATTAAAAATCTTTTCATTTTTATTTAAAGGCAAATATTTTTATGAAAATTATCCATTCTCTTTGTAGCCTTGAGTGTAAAAACTAAATTAAATAAAATTTGGGCGCGAACCCGGATTTATATCACCTTCTCTTCAAGACAACCTTGAATACCAATAAGATATTAAGTTGGATGTTTCATAAATACAAATGTGTTTCATAAATTTGATTATATTAATTAAAATTATTATGAAATATGAAAGTACAGTATAGATAAATTTTTAAAAGTAAATTTTTGTATCAAGGTATTATGTTTTACTTTTTTACAATTATTGAACATTGTCTGCTTTTAAAAACTAATTTATTCATTAGAAATTATATCACAAATAAAATTTTGTGACTGATAAAACTAAAACCGAAATTATAGTTAATATAATTACAAAATTATATATATTTTTATTATACTTATCTAATACTATACAGAACGTTCAATAAGTAATAAAACAAGTCAATTGTTAAAAACAATGAGAAAAATAAAAACCCGTTTCCTTACATATTAAAAACCCTATATAGTAAAGTCAACTCTATAAGTAAGTTCTTCCAACTAAATATTTATTTTGTCAATATTTTAATAAAAACTGTAAAATATTTTTTTTCGTGTATAAGTTATGATTAAACTTGTATGATAAAGAAAATCGTTTGGACTAAATATTTCTCTCATACTTTAAAATGGTGTTATTAAAATTTATTGAATTCAGGGTACATGAAATTTTGTTATATAAAAAAAAATTTATATTTACATATAAATTATATATTGATGGCAAATTATCAAAAATACAATTTTAATTGTTAATTTATACTTGATTATTTTAATAACCGCGAAAAAAAATTAAGTAGCTTATAGTTTGATATTTTATATATTAATTATGTTTAACCTCCTCTCTTAAAACCTATTACTTTTATAAGATGACATGAAAACCTATATATCCCAAACCTAGTTAATTATAAAATAAATAACAACATCGATTTTCCGTTAGGCCTCTCCATTTATTATAATTAGAGCAATGAATTTTATACAATTGCATATCTATTAATAATATACGTACGATTATCAGAGTTCAAAATGTCGATAAATTTGTGTACAAATTTTTATATTAAATATTTTTCATTAAAGTTAAGTGAATGTATATTTCATGAAAATTTAAATATATATTTGCTTCAGAAAGAAAACTATTGTTACATACTTGTGATACTGATATCTTACAATAGGATTGTTGGTATTAATAACTTATAAATATTTACTTTATTTTATTTTTTAGCTTTTATAAGAAGTTAAGAAGGTATTAATATTACTGTGATGGGTTTTTTTTTTGTGTCTGTTGCAACTTATTATCAGCACTCACCGGGTTGATTTCTTTCAATGATATGTCAAAAGATTATGGATATGATCCAATTGAACATATTTATCCTCAAAAATTGAAAAAAATTCCATTATTCCTTTTAAATGGAGAATATAACGCTATAGCTGAGGAAAATGCAAACATGACAATTTTCAGGAATAATCATACTTTGCCCCTTAGAAGACGAAAGAGATTATTGAAAAAATTTGTAATATTAGAATAAATATTGAAGTAGGTCTTACGCAAATTTGAGATTTTAAATCCATTCACAGAAGTCAAGAAAAATCATAGAAGCATAACCTCACCATCTTACCCCACCTTAATCTACACTTTTTATATAGGAAAAAATGTTAGTCAATAATCATGCAAAACATGGGGTTTCGATAGGCATTTACCTTGTAGATTAAAATGGCAATGCCCTTAGAAATCCCATGTTTTGGTGATACATTTAAGAATTAATAAAAGTAAATTTTCTAATTTTTTAGTAAGATTTTAACATATTTTTGTTCTTTGATTAAAAAAAAATACGTTATTACATATTAACAATATATTATTGATATAAGTAATTTATTATTCGAAAATTAAAAAAATATATAGAGATCCTAAAATTAAATTTTACATTAAATTTACTATAGAAAATCCACATGATTACTATTTCTTAGCTCTCGCTGGAACGTTTTTTCTCAACAATATGTCAAAAGATCACAAATTGTACATAGTTAAAGACATTACCATTAAAAATTGAAAATTTTGCCCTTGTTCTCCGTAAATTATGAAAATTCCCCAAACATTTTTAAAATCGGTAAATTTTCACATTATTTTTCATATTTTTTTCTAAAAATTGCTATAACTTATTGAAAAATGAGCGAATTAATATAATTCTCTCTTATATTGAAATTATAGATATTATCCTTTCATTTAATATATATTTTTGGAAAATCTGACATTTGACCTGCCCACATGGGGTATTTAAAAAAGAAATTTTTGCACACTATTGAAGCTTTTTCAACTTAATTTTTGATAATGTTCTGGAAATATTGACACTTTTATTTTATTTAAATTAAAGCTTATGTAATATACTTTACTATGAAGAAAAAAAATTTCGAGATATAGGTCTTTATGGTGATAATGGCCATCATAGTCAAAAGTATGCTATTTTTATGTTAAAATTATTGTATTTTAATATATTTTATAAAGGGAGTATACTGATTTTCATGAATATTATATAAATCTAATTGATATAGAATATAAAATTTAACTTATTTAAATTTTTTTTTCGTTTTAGTCGAAAAAAGTAACTTTAAATTTGAATTAGCTTAAATGGCCAATTTGATGAAATGGCGAATGGGACAAACGGTTGCCAGATAGATAACACTTGTGTCTTTCACGCTTAAGATACGAGGTTTAAATCCGCCTGTAGAAATGACATTTTTTTTTATATGTTAATACTCGTTTTTAACTAATTAGTAATAATATCAAAAATTAGTGGTGATGGAAAAAATATAATTGCAACTTTGAAATCGTCAAGAAAATTGCACAAGAAAAGTATACTTTTAACTCTGTTGAAAATATCTTGTAAAACTATTTATTCATAATTAACAACAAATTATTTTCTGAAAAGCTTTGTATCGGGCCTTTCAATTTTTATTCATGTTTTCCATAAAAGTAACAGCTACTTTATAATTTTTTATAATTTCTCCGTAAAAATTAAAATACTATATATCAATTTCTTACTATATTTAATTTCTCTAATAGATATTTAATCATATATTATACTTATAAATAATAGAACTACTACTAATTAAGAACAATGAAGGAAATAAGAGTTAATTTTGCTTTTGGAATAATTCACCAATATCTTAAAATTAAACATTATCTACAGATTGGCATCAAAGAGATTCTTATGATAGTGATTTTAATCACTGTCAGATTTCATCTATGGTTATTCCAACTATGCCACGTTTACACTGTGTCACGACCCCACCGTGATACCGTTTTTACTTTTTTGAGTTTAATTCGATAAGTATTATACTTAACGTGAAAATATATAGAACCTTTATTATACCCTGAGAAAAATAATAAAACATGATAAATTTCATAAAAAGTTTAAATAATTCTTTTACACAAATTTTTTAAAATATTAATATTTATTAAATATCATATTACGTAAAAATTATTTAAAACTATTTTATTATTGACTAAAATTAAGTAAAAAAAAACTTGTTTTATATATTATAAAAAAAATAATTAATTTAAAACTCGCACAACATAATGTCTACTAAAATCACCATATGACTTTTATGTTTTTATAGTGTTTTTCTATCACTTTGGGATATTTCTTTCGGTAATCTAGTACTGTCTTAACATTTAAATGAATTGATTGAAATTAGATCAAAATGAAAATTATTAAATTACCTATAATAAAAATATAGGCTTAGAAGGTTTGGTCATGTTATGAGGAGAGAGGAATCGGAAGCTCTCATTAACTTAACTCCCTCTCTGCTGTGTCATTTACTATTTACCATGACTTTATTATTTTATTTCCTATTTTATAATCCTCCTGATATTTCCAGTAAGCTAGATCAATGCTTAAAATGTTTGTTGAAATTCCAAACCGCTTAAACATTTAAATTCATTGAAATTTATCAAATTAGTAGGTAGTTCTTTTTGAAAAAAATTAAGAACGTCATTTAATGTAATCGATAATTTTTTTTAAATCAGTTTCTTCCTCATCGTCATCATCTTTTAATGCCTGTTATTAATACCTGTGCTTAAAAATGTTTCAGTCATTTTGTGTTTTGTATTATAATGTATACGGTCATGACACAAGGAAAAAGTTATATATTCTGAATTTAATTATCATAAATAGTTAATTATTTTTTTAAAGCTACGTCTGCAATTTTCTTATTTTGTGATTTATAGGCTTCTAATTTTCTAAGAAATAGTATATCATTGAGGGCAGCTTCTATTATGTTGGTAGGAGGAAACCAAGCTTGGATGTAACATTTGACTATAAAACAACAAATATCTTTTAAGGATATTTCTTTTCTGCTGCTTAGTTTAAATTGTTTTTTAAATAAAAATATTTTGAAACAATAGATTTGCTGTAGCCATCCGTCTGGCTGAATGATATAGATCAGGTCTTCGAAAAGTAGTTCCACTTGGACGAACACCACCCAAAAATTTTTGATAATTATCTTGAGGAAAATCTTTAGTAAATTTATTTTTTGCATATAAAATCTTTTATAATATTATGAACATAAGTATATATAGCACTTATTCAGGAACCATGGATTAATGGTAACCAGATTAAGGTGCTAAATCTAAGGAATTTTAAACTGTTTCATACACAAGTAGATAAACCAAGAACTTGTATTTTGGTTAATGATAAAGTTAAAGCCAGCTTGATACTTAATCTATCAAGTGCAGACTTGATAGATATTAGAGTAACACTAAGCGATGATAAAAATATTATAGTAGTTTCAGGATATCTACCATATGAGGCCTCAGACCCAGGTAGGGACCTAACAATGGTTTTTAATTATTGCAAAAATGAAAAATTGGAACTCATCCTATGTATGAATGCTAATGCTCACCGCACTATTTGTGGGAGCAGTAACATCAACCAAAGAGGAAACATAATAATAGATCTATTACTGACTACAGACTTCCGTATACTGAATAGAGGTAGCAAAACTACCTTTGTAATCAAGAACAGGTAGGAAATCATTGATGTGACAGTTTGCTCAAAAAGTTTACTTCAAAAGATAAAAGGGTGGAATGTGTCTTCCGAACCTTCTTTCTGATCAAAGGCACTTACGATTCACTTTGGAAATTAACAAAGTTGAGACGGAGTACTATAGGTATCCAAAAAGAATAAACTGGGACGACTACAGGGCAGATCCTTCTCGTGACCTGAATAACCTACAATTTAGATTGGAGTCGAGACAGAGTACTGAAAGGGTGGTAAATATACTACAGGACTCCATTGTTTCGGCTTACAAAGAAAACTGTCCTTTAATAGAAAAGAAAGGTACAGGGTAGGGTGTAGCTTGGTGGAATGCTAATCTGTTTAAATTAAAAAAGAGTTCACGTAAGCTGTTAAATAAAGTAATGAAATCAGGTTTGGAACAACACTGAGAAACCTATAAGCATGCCCAAAGGAACTATAAATCTGCATTGAAAAAGTTCAAAAGAGAAAGCTGAAAGGAGTTCTGTGAGGATATACAACAACTACCTATAGCAACTAGACTTCTGCGATCACTAAGGAATGAATCAAACAAAACTGTCAAGACAATACCACTGCCAAACGGCATGTTCATCAATAACGATAATGAAATATTACCACATTTGACGAACACACATTTTCCTGACTCTGGAATTAACAACAGAGAACAGTCACATGATACACAGAACAAACATGTAACCTATGCTGATTGGAGACTAACCAGGAAAGTGATAACCCCAAGTGAAATAAAATGGGCAATAAAAGCCTTTGACAGTTTCAAAGCTGCAGGCTGGGACGAAATTTTCCCTGCTCTTCTGCAAGAAGGGTTAGAGTTAACCGTCCCCCATCTCTGCAAAATATTTAGATCATGCCTTGCCTATGGTTATCAACCAGAAAGCTTGCAAAAGGTCAGGGTGGTGTTTATACCAAAACCTAACCGGACTAACTATTATGAAGCAAAATCCTACAGGTCAATAAGTCTTACTTCATTTCTTCTTAAGACAATGGAAAAACTTATTGATAGGTACATCNAATGTCATCTGCTTCATCTTTTATAATATTATGAACATAAGTATATATAGCACTTATTCAGGAACCATGGATTAATGGTAACCAGATTAAGGTGCTAAATCTAAGGAATTTTAAACTGTTTCATACACAAGTAGATAAACCAAGAACTTGTATTTTGGTTAATGATAAAGTTAAAGCCAGCTTGATACTTAATCTATCAAGTGCAGACTTGATAGATATTAGAGTAACACTAAGCGATGATAAAAATATTATAGTAGTTTCAGGATATCTACCATATGAGGCCTCAGACCCAGGTAGGGACCTAACAATGGTTTTTAATTATTGCAAAAATGAAAAATTGGAACTCATCCTATGTATGAATGCTAATGCTCACCGCACTATTTGTGGGAGCAGTAACATCAACCAAAGAGGAAACATAATAATAGATCTATTACTGACTACAGACCTCCGTATTTAGACACTATACATATATGGTGCAGTAAGTATGGTCTATCTGTTAATCCAAATAAAGCAGAGGTCGTTATGTTTACTAGAAGAACANGCAGATCCTTCTCGTGACCTGAATAACCTACAATTTAGATTGGAGTCGAGACAGAGTACTGAAAGGGTGGTAAATATACTACAGGACTCCATTGTTTCGGCTTACAAAGAAAACTGTCCTTTAATAGAAAAGAAAGGTACAGGGTAGGGTGTAGCTTGGTGGAATGCTAATCTGTTTAAATTAAAAAAGAGTTCACGTAAGCTGTTAAATAAAGTAATGAAATCAGGTTTGGAACAACACTGAGAAACCTATAAGCATGCCCAAAGGAACTATAAATCTGCATTGAAAAAGTTCAAAAGAGAAAGCTGAAAGGAGTTCTGTGAGGATATACAACAACTACCTATAGCAACTAGACTTCTGCGATCACTAAGGAATGAATCAAACAAAACTGTCAAGACAATACCACTGCCAAACGGCATGTTCATCAATAACGATAATGAAATATTACCACATTTGACGAACACACATTTTCCTGACTCTGGAATTAACAACAGAGAACAGTCACATGATACACAGAACAAACATGTAACCTATGCTGATTGGAGACTAACCAGGAAAGTGATAACCCCAAGTGAAATAAAATGGGCAATAAAAGCCTTTGACAGTTTCAAAGCTGCAGGCTGGGACGAAATTTTCCCTGCTCTTCTGCAAGAAGGGTTAGAGTTAACCGTCCCCCATCTCTGCAAAATATTTAGATCATGCCTTGCCTATGGTTATCAACCAGAAAGCTTGCAAAAGGTCAGGGTGGTGTTTATACCAAAACCTAACCGGACTAACTATTATGAAGCAAAATCCTACAGGTCAATAAGTCTTACTTCATTTCTTCTTAAGACAATGGAAAAACTTATTGATAGGTACATCAAGGAGAGCCTTATAAAGGGGAACTCTTTACATAAAAACCAACATGCGTATCAAACGGGGAAATCTACTGATACAGCTCTACACTGCCTAACGACTAAATTAGAGAAAGCTATAGAATGTATGCAGTAGGTATATTCCTGGACATCGAAGGGGCTTTTGACAATGCTCAATGAAACCAAAGTAATCAAGAGTGTTAAACAGGGATGCCCACAAGGCGGGATTCTATCTCCCTTGCTATGGTGTCTAGTATTGGACTCGCTTATACACAAATACTATTATACACAAGCCAATGCAGATGACTTAGTTATAGCAGTGGTGAGTTAATTCCCAGACACTATGATAAATTTAGCACAATAGAGACTAAACACTATACATATATGGTGCAGTAAGTATGGTCTATCTGTTAATCCAAATAAAGCAGAGGTCGTTATGTTTACTAGAAGAACAGGACTAGACAGTCTTGGCACTCTTACTCTAAATGAACAAGAAATTAGCTTAAAATCGGAATTAAAATACTTAGGTATTATCTTAGATAGTAAGCTAAAATGGAAATCACGTGTTGAGTCAAGAATCAAAAAAGCAATGACCACACTGTGGACTTGCAGCAGAGATCTAGTAAAGACATGGGGTCTTGAACCAAGAGTTATTTATTGGTTGTACACTTCAGTGATTAAACCTATGATATTGTACGGTGCCCTAGTCTGGTGGACCAGAACAGCACTTGTTACAGCTAGGAAAGAACTTAGTCGCATACAGAGAATAGCTGCTATGATCATCACTGGAGCATTAAGAACTACACCAACGGTCGCACTAGAGGCACTAATCGGATTGCCTCCTCTGCATCTAGAGGTGAAAGCTCACGCCAAAGCCACAGCACTAAGATTCCACAATTTAGGTATGTGGACTTTGGAGAGTGACACAACAGAATATGGTAAAATACTAATTGATAGACCAGGGCGTTTTGGAATACCCCTTGGACTATATCAAACCGGTTCTTAAGAATAACATTCTCTACAAAGTAGAAATCACTACACATAGAGAATGGAATATTAACCACCTCACTGAAAAAGGAGGATTTGTAATATATACAGATGAATCCAAAAAATCAGGAAAGTAGGTTCTGGCATTTGAGGTCTAAAGTCACGAATAAATGCCAGTATGTCATTGGGCACAAAACCCTCTAATTTCCAAGCAGAGATGATGGCGATACTGATAGGGGCTCAGAACCTGCTGGTATACAAGAACAGGAAGATAACTATCTTAAGTGACAGTCAAGCGGCTTTGAAAGCACTCTATAATGATCAGGTGAATTCAAAGCTAGTCCTCGAATGCAGGAAAACTTTAGAGTCACTATAGAGGTTCAACAAAATAACACTAGCGTGGGTCCCAGGATACAACGGTGTCGCTGGATATGAAAATGCTGACTTTCTAACAGAGAACACTTATGTTGGACCAGAACCAGTGATAGGACTCACTGAGCAGTCGCTCAAAGCGCTACCCAATTCTTGGAGCAGAGAACAACACAGGAAAATCTGGAAGTACTTAGTAGTACCTATACAATCTAAAATGTTTATCAATACCCCCGGTCTACTGCTGGGTTAATAGTATGACTAGACATCAAATAAGTACCTTGACTGGTCTACTGACAGGACATGGTCACCTGCTTAAACATCTTAACACAATGGGGGTATCGGAATCACCATTGTGCAGAAAGTATAGAGTAGATGAGGAAGACTCATTTCACATTATGTGCGAATGTGAAGCCTTGTCCACACTATGATCAAACTACCTGAGTAAACCTTTCCCTGAAAAAGAAGATATTAAAAACCTAAGATCCAGAGAGATACTTAATTTCACTGAAAAGACAGGACTCTTTGGTCATCCATAGGTGTGACTTGATGATCCACCATTATACAATGATAGGTATAATGTACCTATATATGTAGGTATAATGTATAATATGACACGGCCCGTAATAGCGCACTATTCATTTACCGTGAATTAGCACGTTATCCGGTCGTGATTATCAGCTGTCCACCGTCGCACTCATTAGTGTTGACGATAACACAAGTTTGTCTTATCCGGCGGTCGGTAGATAGGACAGGTCAGGGGGTTCAGCACCACGAGACACGTCGGCGACTATGTAAACTAGTTCATCTGTGACTTACATCCGCCGTACGTGCCGTGTGATTTTTCATCAGCGCCTTATTGTGTTTTATTCGCACCTTATTGTTCACCAGATTTTATAATATTATTTTAGCTTAAAATAAAATAAATCAACTCCATAACGGTGTTACGTTTATTATTAACCTTTAAAATTACTGTGTCAAATATAACACTTAAGTGAGTTAACCTAATCTAGACAATTCGGTATGAAGTGCTCACAATGAACCAACAGGTCTGAGTGCTTGGACATTATGTCCACCTCGATAATAACTAAAACTAAAACTATAGGCAATAATAAGTTCTATATATTTTAATGTTAAGTGTATTACTTATAGAGTTAAACTCAAAAAAGAAAAAAACTGTCCTCAAATGTCATATTTCAACCCTAATGTGTCACCAGAAAGGGATTGAGTAAAAACTTACAATTTTTGCCTACACTATTTTTTTATACCACTGAAATAATCTAGAGGGTACTGTGAAAAACATATTTTAAAAAATGTCCAAAGTACTTAATATAATCCTACAATAAAAAAAAAATCAACTATGTCTCATCTGTAACATTAATTGGACACTTTTATTACTATAAATTATAATTAATTTATTTACAAATAAATGTTAGCCATTTTACTAATCGCTCCATGGAGCAACTGGGAAAATAGTTTTAATTTCAGCTGTTTCAGAGGATTTATTCATTTTCAGTGTTTGTGCGTAACTTGGCATTGAGTTTGTATTATTTGTTGCATTAATGTTAGAGTCTGTAGATACTTCAGATTCTTCTAAAAATTATATTGATGTTCAGTGCATAAAATTACATAAAAGAATTATTGATTATGATTTTTATCTTACCAATTTCAACAGATTCGTCATCTTCCAATATTGGACTAATATTACCTCCCTTTGAAACTCTAGGTCTATTAAAATTAAATTTACATATTTAGTTATTATTTAATTTAATTTGATACCTTATAAAAGTTCAATATTCTTAAACATTAAATATGTCTTCTACTTCATTTCCTCGCCTTTATCCCAACTATTTGGAGTAGAATTAGGGGTACTTATTGTAAACTTCCACTTGATACGACTCCCATAATATCTATACACACATCAGCTGTCCTCATATCCAATTAAATAACAATTCTTCGTCACTTTTTTGGTCTTCCTCTACCTCTTCATCCTTCAACATTAATTTCCATAACTGTTCTTACAGCTTCCATTTCCTCTCTCCTTACAACATGACCAAACCATCTAAGTCTTTTTTCTTTCATCTTATCCACGATAAATGCGACATCTATATTCCCTCTTATATGTTTGTTTCTTAAACTCTAAATAAGTATTAATTTATATTTTTACCCTTTAGAAGTACGCAGTATCTTCTCAGGTGACTGGCCTATCATAGATGTATCATTTTGAGATGAATCAACATTATCTTGTGCCTGTGATGGTGAGCACTGGTCAATTTTTCTTTTTGTTGTTAAAGTTATATTATTAATTTTGTTATAAGATGCCCATGTTACAAGAGCTATGTTCTTATGAAGGGCTTGTAACTTTGGTAAGATTTTATTGAAAGCTTTTGCATGAGTTGCATCACGTAAGGCTACCCAAGCAGATGTATCATTTATGTACTTAATAAATACATTGGCTAAAAAAATTAAAAATATTATTAATAAAGATTAAATTTAAATTTTTTATTTTTATTTAATTGATCTTAAAGTAGAAGACGTATTATCATTTTTTCTGAAGTTAATAATATTGTCCATTTTTTTTTACCAAATATATTATACATTATGATATAATTATTGAAAATTACTACACCTATAACTCATAATCTAAAATGTATACTTATTACAAATAAAACATTATAATTAAGTCTACATATGTTAATAATTTTTTTAAATTTACCAATCCCCTTCTTACTTTTGTAAGATATAATAATTTTTTTTTAGAATGAGAACCAATATTTAAGTTATTTATGTAGCCATTTTTTTTCAATTATGAAACCTTATGATTACCAGATTTATTTCATTCTATATCTATGAATTTTTTTTAATGAAGCTACAAAATGTCAACTATTTTCATAACATTCTTTTCATCATATGACCATAAATTAAATTTTTAATACATGAGTTAAAAACAAATAAACACTTTAAAAAGTCGTTTTACTTACTGAAGGGACTAAATACATTAGTTATATCAATAGTTTTCCATTCTGGTGGAAATGTTATATGATAAACATGATTTCTTTGTATTTGAGCTGGAAAAATAAAAAAAATATTACTTTAAAAATTGAATCGCATACATATTTATTTAAATTAAAAGATTAAAAGATTTTAATTTGATATTATTTTTTTTAATAAATAAAAATATACTTACATTCTGGACCACCAAGGTTCAAGCAAGGATCTTCATTATACCTTATCATAAATAATCTAACAAAACAAAGTAATAAAATGATGAATGAAATAAAATTCTTACAAATAAATGTTATTATGTTTACAAAGCAATCATTTAATATTTTAAAAGTAAAATGTTAAAATTATATTAACTTAAATTTAAAGAAAATTTTTCTTTAAATATTTATTTTTAATTCAAATCTTGAAATATTGATCAATTAAAAAAATTATAAATACATATAATATAAAACAACACTAGTAACATGACATACATTATCAAAAAGTATGAGTAAACAGTATTAATTTTAAAAAATGATTATCATCAATAACCAATTATAGAAAAAATATTTTAAAACTGGATAAAACTATAATTTCACTTTAATTAAAGTATTCTTTTGAATATTCTGTAAGTTTTCAACACATATTTATGTATGAAGTATAAATAATATCTTTCAACACCAAATCTCAAGAAACTCAATTTTTAGGAGAGCTATTTTAAAATTTAATAATGCATTAAAATAACTTGAAAATAAATTATTCAATTTAATCTCAAATAGTTGAACATTGATATTTATGTAGAATATTTTTTCTCAGATAAACTAGTATTTTAGAACATTTTGAAAACAAGCACAATTAAAAATGTTTTATTTTAAGATGTGGGGTTGTAGAAAGGAATTAATAGTATAAATTGAGTTGACAAAAATTTAAATAAAAGAATGATACAATGAAAAGTATGAAACTAAGTTTAATAATGTCTTCAAATAATAAACTAATAAAAAAGGGTTTTCATTTTTCATTGTGAGAAATATCTGGTCAAAAAACTTTTTACTCCTAAACTATTAACTGTTGCTATCCATGTAATAATAACAAAAACAGAATAATATCATATAAATACTAGTAATGAATATTTTTCATTTACTAGTTTAAATTTTATATAATAAAATGTTATCATATTCCCTAAAAATATTAATGTTACTATATTTAAAGTCAACTCACTTATTCATATACGACTTAAGACAAGGTGAACTTGGGAGTACTGGTTTATCTGTTTTTTTTATCATACCTAATGATATACATAAATATAATATACATAAATAAACAAAGTACAAGTTATTAACACAATGTAAGTCAAAATTTACCTAATAAATTACAAAGATTGATAAATACAGAACTAGTCAAGTATGCATCATAAGCAGCTTCATGAGCTTTACATTCATCTTTGGCATAGCTTGTTAATGGTGATTCAGGTTCTGAAAAATTTTTATTAAAAAATAATAGCAGGCTAAAGACAATCTGTACTTAGATTAAATATTCAATTTATAATTCACTATTATGAAATACTGCTATTTTCCATATAAAAATGCATAATATTATTATAATTTTTAAAATATTATAATAGTAGAAAATACAATTTATACCTAAATTTGTGTAATTATGATTTTGTTCAAATAATATCTTGTGCAAATCGTTCAATACAGTCGAATTAAAATATTCTCGTAGAGGATCAGTTCCACTAATATACTTAGTATCATAAAAACTAGGAAGAAATAACAAGGAGAATTAAATAAATTTTGTATCTATTTTTATAATTAAAAAAAAATTACCAAGGAGAGATTATTTTTACAACTTCTTGAAATTCCATATAATCACTAGGTAATGGTAAACAAAATTGATGAATCATATGACAAACATCTAATGTCATATTATGCCCAATTATTGGTTTATTCTAAACATTTTAAATGATTAAATGTTTAAAAAAACTTTAAATCTTATTTTATATATCTTACAGAATTTTTAATTTTCTTTAAAACAGCTGAAAAACCAACAGCTTTTTCTAATTCTGCCAACTCGCGCTCCATTCTTTCTTTAGCCATTAATTCTTTAGATCTTCCTTTGTAAGCTATCATTACATTACCAGAATCCTCCATTATTTTTGATTGTAAGCTTACTTTAGTGTCTGAAAATCGTTGATAAACTTCCTAATACAACACACAAGGAGTATTATGATAACTTTTTTTTATTATAATTTATAGTTTAAAAAAACAACTTCAGAAAGTATCCTATAGAATAGAGCTTTTTAGTATAATATATTAATTATTTTATTATTATGACATACTTGATAAATAAGTTTACGAATGAATGAATTAGTTTTTTCAGCTACAATGACTTCAGAAGATGTATTCCCTTCTAAAAGTTCTTTAACTCTTTCACTATTAGAAAAATTAGATAAAATAATAAGTATTAGTTAAATATTACTTATGTTTCAGAGTTTATTCTTACCAAGCAGTTTCAATATCAGCTTTATGATTATCAGGAATTGGAATAACATCAACTGACTTAGATGGTGTTTGGCTTTGTGAACAATTTTGTTTGTATCTATTAAGTAACTCATCTCGTAACACTTGTTCATCTGGTATTGTAAGAAATGGAATACCTAGATTTTTGATAGTAAAATGTTTATATATAATGAAAAAGATTATAAAATTTAAAAATATATGTGGCCTACTATAAAATTAAGTAAACAGCCTACTTAGCACATTAGGAATACATTGTACCAGGGTATACCAATACCGTGATTCAATTCTGCCACATTAGGCTACATAGGTTATCCCACTTTCTTTATTACAATCATTGCTTTTAAGGGGAGATATTAGATATAAATAGAATAATAATAATATGCATTATTGTACAAACCATTTTTAAAAAGCTTGTTGAAATCAAAGTTATGATTGCTAAGAAACTCCATGCTTGATGACTGGCAAAGAAATCTACAATCTGGAGCATATCGACTCATTGGTTTTGGAAATGTATAAAAATTATATGCTTTATAAGTAAACCTTAAAGTATTAATAATTGTTTAGTACAATAAATAAATTATAATTTATTTGATTTTGTAAATTAAATAATAAATTTATAAATTATAAATTATATTTAATATATAAAGCAAACTAATATTAGACCAGATTTCACTTTGATTATTATAAAAAAAAAAGTAAATTCATAAAGACAATTAAATATTTAATAATTTAATAAAATAGAACAAATTAAAAAAACATAGACAAATAATTTATTTAATAGAATATATAAGTACAAAGCTTTTAGGTAATATATTAATTTTACTTTCCTATTCAAGACTCACTTTTTAATATTTGCATTATATTTTACAGCACACAAACCAAATTGAACCATTAAAAAGTCCATACAATTACTTCTGAGTTTTTGGTAATACTGAGCCGAAGTATCAAATACACTAACCATTGTACCATTATGAAGACCAGTGAATTCACCATCAATAGCAATAAAAATAGCATCATCAATTGCCTGTTCAATTTCTGGCAAAACCTGATAAAAATCTAAAAGAATAACAGAATTACACATCTGTAATATTAAAGTTTTCAAAAAATTATCTAACTTTCATTTATTACTTCCATTATTGAATTGTTTTTTTATAAGACTTTTGTATTTTATTTTTTACTAAACAAATACAACATCTATATTTGAGTTTGAAGCAAAAAATAATAAAATTTTAGAATATTCAAGACTTTACATGAGAAATTTTCCAATTTACGATTATTAAAATTTATACATAACGTACTAAAAGGATATCAAAAATACTAAAAGTATACCATGTTGACTAACGTGATGTGGAAATTAAAATAAAACAAATGAATGTTATCATATTTTTGTTTACGTTGTTCTTATCATAATTAACGCCGAGGTGGTAAAATGATTGTTTTTTTCTTCCTTGCTATGAGAGTTTAAAATTTTAAACAAAATTTGCTTGATATTTTCTTAAATTTTATCAAATAATTTAATTTTCCTACAATTATCTAATAATACAATTTTATTTTTGCAATTAACTTATTGCATCAGATTGTAGGTTATACCACAATACATTCTATTGTTCTGTGATTATTATATATTTAAAAAACAAGATTAGGTAGTGATAGAAAACATTTTTTCAAAAATTAAAATTTATTTAATAAATCCAACAATTTTGACAATAATGTTTTTTTTTATAAACAGTTTTGAAATATCTATAAAACAAAACGATTGTTAAATTAGTTTTTTAATCAAATTATTACTTTTGAACGATGTCTTCGATTTGTNTTTTGAAACATCTATAAAACAAAACGATTGTTAAATTAGTTTTTTAATCAAATTATTACTTTTGAACGATGTCTTCGATTTGTTCTAGATCAAAACGAAATAATCCTATAAATAAATAAAAAATTAATTAAAATATATGATTTTTTTTTAAATGCATCAAAAATACCTTATACATTGTTATATCTAAATGTAAGACAACAAACAATAATTTAAACTTATGATAATATTGAACAAAGTGTAATTTTTGAAGAACGTTTTTCATTTTTGACTGGGAATATACTATAGATTACAAACACATGAGTATTTAATATATTGTTAATCTATGAAATACAAAGTTAGGCAAGTTAATAGTTAAAGTTTATTTGTTATTATTATTTTTTTAATAAATTAAATTGACAAAATCTCAGTAGCTTATGAGTTAAATTAATGAAAAAATAGTTAGTACATATTACTCCTTGAACAAATTAAATTTCGAAAAAAAATATTTTTCGAGCTAATTTTTATTAAAATAATTTTGTGCACTATAGTTTTTTTTTCTGTATTTATAAAATTTACAATCTGTTAAAAAAAAAAAAAATTTACAATAAGTAAAATATACATATATACAATACTTAACATGAGTAGCCGTGAGGTCGCTCCCATTGAAGTCGCCTGCTAGTACACTATAGTAAACAAGTAAATATTTGGACACCATTTAGAAAAAATAATTTCCCTGTTGAATTGTCATCATCTTGCAGACCTTTAAGTAGGGTTTAATTACTCGTTCAAAATTTTTTCTTATAATTTTAATCATACTAAAGGTTTTTAAGACGATGGCAAATTGATTTGCTAAATTTTTCGATGTACAAATATTAACTTGAATTACTATACTTAGACTTTATTTTAAAAATATGTATTAACAAAAATACGTAAATTAGTCGTTTAATTAATTAAAATTGAGTTAACATAAAATTTAATAATCTACATTAAACCAAAAATTTTAACTTATTAATTCATTTATGACTAGTTTTGATGAATTGACCTAATGAAATGATAAAGAACTATCAAAATAGAATTATTATAATTTGGAACATGAAAAAGCCACCCGACAAACAATATAGTTACGTTTTAAACACTGAATATTTAAAACACCAAAATTTATATTGATCTTATGAGATACTTAAAACGTTTTAAATTATTTTTAAACAGATTTTTATATATATATATATATATATATATATATACTTTTTAATAACGCTGTTGATATATAGTTATCATGAACAAAGATAAAATTTTATTTAAGTTTGTTATACTTTGTTATGCAAAAAGCCACCGATATGAAATAGCCGATTAGCTATAGGAAAATCCAATCAAATATTTTTATTTATATATCGATACCTTTCTGGTAATGGGCTGTATTACATTTGACATTTTTCAGAATGGACAAAAATTGATTATCATTATTATATACAGAGTGATTCACTTATTATGAAACACATAATTAATCGAAGAATAAAAATAATAATAATAACTTTTTCTTTTAGTTTAATGTTTTTCTCAATTTTTGAATCATAAAGTATTTTATGTTTAAACCTTTAAAGAATTTCAACTTCAATTTCATTAATAGCAACACCTCTAATTAACTAACTTATTTAATATATTATGATCTATTAAGAAAATGACTAGTCGATAGCAACTTTTAGACCGGTATTTTTTTTAAATTATTGACATATTGTATGTCAATAAGAAGAGTACTCCCGGGAAATGTTTAATTATAAAAATAGCAGCTCCTACTCTTCACTTCCACGCATTACTTTAAATAGTTAATGACTTCCAAAATATTGGTCCAAAAGTTGTTAAAAGTCATTTTCTTAGACTATTATTTATTAAATGTTACCCTGAGAAGGCCCGGAGACTCCGTCCCTCTATAATAAATTTGGATTCAACTCAATTCAATTCAAGAGTACGCTCTTGCTTGGGACGGCATGACTCATAATGTTTTTTAAATAAACCCCGATGTAGTATTAAATTTAATTATTTAATTTTATACTTTTCTATCTAAATTTTAAGAATATGTTAAATGTATTAATGTGATATTAAAAATCTTAGTGTGCTTTAGCGTTTACTAACAAAATTGTTCCTTTGACAAAAAATTGACAGACTTAAGGTATTAAGATATGACTTAAAAAAAACTCATTTAAACTATAAATAACAAGCGGGATAATCGTTATAAAACAAAAAATATATTATAAAAAAAATAAGTTTACTAAAAGTTATTTAATTTGTCAGTACACATTTACTCTCAGCTAATAAAGTTAGCCCCTCTCAATTTTTTTTATAAAATTCGAGCAATAAAAACTACCAGTCGTTTACTTAACTGACTTCATTCAATAAATCGCTAACTATAAAAAGAAAATAATTCTATTTTTATAATTTTTTATCACTTTGTATTAGAAAATTGTAAATTCATAATATACTGCAAAATGAAGTAAAAATCGGTGACGTAGCCAATATTTATAAAAGAATTGTCACATTCGAAAAAACCATAACCCCATATTTTTTGTCCGTCTATTTATTTTGAAAACAAATATTGCGGTTAATTGGTGTAAGCAAGGCCTATGTATCCCCCTTATATACGCCATTTACTTAAGAAGGTCTTAGTCCCTAAAGCACCACCCAACGTTTCTCAAATAAATAAATTCAAACATTAAAAAGCTCCAAAATTAGCGTTTTGTAATCAAATTTATAATTTAATACTAGTATTTTAGCATATAAATGTTTCAAATTTACCTCCCCCTTAAAAAAAAAAAATTCAAAATAATATGCTGGATTTTTGCTTTTTAAATGTATGACCAATGAAGTTGAAGATTTATTCCTATTAATAAAATGTTGAGAATTAATATTTAAAATTGTATCTATTATTTAATACTGTTTGCACTACATAATAAAATTATATAATGTAAAATATTTTTTTAAAATAAAATTTTTGAATTATTGTTTCTCAAATGATCAGTTCAGTTTTATGTCTTTATAAGTCTTAATTTTTTTTTTTTTTATAAGATGCACAGTATATTTCTGAAAAATAAAATATGATATTTTTACATCATTATTTACACCACACTATCATAGACTATAATCAATTGTAAAAAATGCTAGGAAACTAAAATTCAAAGGGAAAGGTGGTGCAAAAGATCATGTTATCATTCTTTTCTCGTATTACTTATATATATATATATTTTCCATAAGTAAAATACACATAGAACTATGCAATATATAGTTTGCGAAAACTTTCTTATAAGTGTTAAAATGACACATAAACTGCAGAATGTTAATACAAGTACATAAATTTAAAAAAATTTATATCAAATCTTTACAATTTTTTTAATATATGTAATTATGGTAATAAAAAAAAAACAAAGTTGTTTTATTTTCAATTACAAAACAATAAGTCTTTTTTTTCCTTAATGTCACACAATTATTGTTCGTTTACAAAAGTTATCAACATTTTTGTGTTTGTAGTTAATACAACTAAGGCACTGATTTACACATCAATATTTAAACATATATTTTTACCTTAGAACAAATTCAGTCAGAAGGTATTAAAAAAACAATAATTAATAGTTACAAATAAATTTATACAGTATACAAGTCACATTTTCTTATAATAAGTATTAAAAAAATATACATAATAAATAAAATCTATATTATTGTTCAGTCAATAAGTCTCAAGCTAGCCATCACTTTACCTTTCCATAATGGTAAAATTTGATTGTCATCTGTGATTTCTTCTTGAATTCCAGTACCAGGTGATTCGTCAAATTCAGTAGTAAAATAATACCTGCAAGAAATTTCACATTAAAAAGATATATATATATAAATATATAATAAATAAGAAAATATTTTACCTATAATGTCCTTTTTTAGGCATACACTCAATAAATTGCTTAAGAGTGATTGGATGACCAACAATTTTTTTTCTAAATGGGAATTCTTCATCGTTAAAATTATATACAACAGTAGTGGATGAAGGAGCTGTGCATGAAGTTGGTGGTACAGTAGTTTCTTCTGAGAACAAACCACGACCAGATGACGAAGAAGAAGTTCTGGGTGAAAATATAAAAAATTAATCATAAGCTCAGCTATTCAATGACTAATTTTAATTAAGTATAAAAATGAATAAGCACTACTACATCTGAATTATACAATTTAATTTAACAAATTGATTTAGAAAATATTTAGTCCAAATAATGCAACTTAATTATAAAACAATTATTATTAACAAAATATTAAAAAATTTTTATAAAACATTTAAATACTTTAATGCAGTTATGATTAATTAACTATAACAAAAAACCAAAAAGTAAAGTGCAGTAGGGATCCAGTAAAGTGGAATCCAGACATTTAGATTAGTATTAATTGATATCTGATAGTGATCAAAATAATTGTTAATAATTATAATACATATTTCAAACAAATTTAAAAAAAATTGATTACATAGAGAACCAGAATGTTTTTCTTTTTTTAATCATACATTACATTAAACAAGCTATAATTTGAAATAATTTAGAATGACGAAAAATAATATAAAATTAGGCGTTTTTTTGATAATTGTATGATTTTTTTCTTTAATAACCAATAACTCATAGAAAACGAGATTTCGCATAGTTTTATTTTTTCATCTAAATAAACATTTTATTATTTTTAATTTGATGTAGGTTTTTTAATATAAGAATATGATGTGATGATTATTCCCCTATCTCAGTAATTTAGTAAATGATAGGATCTCAAAAAAATGTATAAATAAATGTTTTGAAAAATTAAATTCAACATATTATGTTGAAAGTAAGGTACTCGTCTTAAATATTACTATTAAAATTTAATTTTGATCCATGTATTATTCTAATGGAATAATTTAAAAAATGTTTTTTGTTTGGCAAAAAATTACATGATTATTAACTTTAGAGGCCAACTACTCATAGAAAACGACTGAAAACGTTTTTCTTTTTTTAATCTCATATTGTATAAAAAAAAAATATAATAGACACATAATTAGTTGTAAGTATACCTTTGTTTGTGATTTTTCTTCACTATCTGATCATTAAGCCTACGACCTGCTTCTATTAACTGATTATCTGTATTAGGAAAAGGTGGAGGAGGCATATTAGGATCAGCAACAAAAGGCTGTCTAGGCATATGATTTGTCCAGGAACCACTACTTCCACATTCTACATTTCCACAATCTATTTATACATAAACAAGTGATAAAATGATTAATAAATGTTTAAAAAAATTTTCTTTAATGTTTTGAAAATATATTCCTAAGACCAAGAGCACCAGCGTTTATTTTGAATTTAATGATACTACAATATAGACAAGATGTAAGGCACAGGAAATAATTTATTTGATAAGACATATCCAAACCGTACTTAACTATTCACTATTTCAAGAAAAAACACAAATATTGATCAATACTGATTCAAAAGTTGTCTTTGACCAATAATTTTTTTAGTTAGATAGTTTTATTTATACAATTTTATAACCTAACCTCATCTCTTCCATTATACTATCTTTGCAATGCTAATTTTATAACACCTATTTTTCAGTTCTGTAGTCACTTTTTATTTTAATAAGTAAAGTATCATTAACAATATAAAATACTCTGTGGTACTTTCAAGAATATCATTAAGTCACCAACTAAAAATTATCTGTTATTAACTAGATAACAGAAGATTTTTGTATCACTTGTTGGTTGAAACAAATAATATTCAACACATACCATGAGAAGCAGACTTTGTAGTCATGGAGTTAGTGGAAGCTGCACACCAACTAAATGCTGGGCCTGGATCAGCTAATGCATCACCAGCACACATTGGACTTTCTTGAAGCCAGATCATGCATCGGTTAGTAGACCTGCTTTGATAGGGAAATTGAAATTAAAATTTTTTGGACATTAAAATATAAAAATAAAACAAACATACTCTTCTTTCATCTTATTCACATTAGTTGGCATTTGAGATTGACCTGATACTACACTTATACCACTATCTGTCATTGTACGTCGACTGCCCCAAGTATGTCGTCCAAGACCTAAAAATAAGTTCAATATTTAATAAAATTTAATTTAAGGAAATAATTACTAATTTCCTTACTTGAAATTCTAAATTCAGTATTAGAAAGAGAATTTTGGTAATCTGGGATAGATCTACTCTTTGGAAGATGGCGACCTAGTTCTGAACTGTCGGTTGTAAAGTCAGTGTAGTTACCACTATCATAACCAGACAATCGGTTATCCTAGTAAATAATAACCTCATTAGTAACAGGTAATAATTAGGACATTGATAAATAATACAAAGTTGAAAACACATACTTTATCTTTCCGTTTGGACATATTAGGATTAGCTGCTGCTAAATAACTACTAGCTAACTGTAAAACAGGTCGGTTAACTTTTCCTAACATTTGTCGCTTGTGCAATGACTGTTCAGGTGATTTTGGTGGAGATTTGAAATACTTTTGTACATGTTGATCTAAATACACACATGTAATATATTCAGTAAAAATTACTTAAGATATAAAACAGAGTAATAAAAAAAGTATTATTGAGAGTAAATTAGGAATAAAAATATGACAACACATAGCCATTGATTAGGTTATTTTATTAATATTATAAAACGTATTATTTTATATACGATTAAGTTTATTATTTATTGAATTATAATTAATTAAGAGAAAATTATAATCTCTCGTAATATATTATACTAATATTTTTGAAGCAAGGTAACAGAAATTATTTTAAGCATATTATAAAAAATAATTAGGATTTTTTATTAACAATTCTAGAAATTCAAATTTAACGTAAATTTTAAATGAATTTTTTTTAAAAGTCTTAGTTTAAGTATATTCATATAGATACACATATTACAGAGAAATTTCTTCAGGGTAAATTCAAATTTATGTTCATTAATGAATATAATCTAGGGTTTAATTAAGATGATAAATAAAACACTTAAAGTACCTAGATAAATAAAGTTGGAATAAAGCCATAATCTATGAATTAAAGCTTGTAAATTATATTTTAAATGTTTTACTAACAGAAACTTAAAAAAGGCTGGTTTTATAAATTTCATGATTTTACAGAATTTTGATAAAATCAGTCTTGGTTATAAAATTACAAACTTATTAAACTTTAAAAATAATAATATATTTTTAATAAAATAATGTATTCAATTCTTTTTCTTAAAATATAAGTCTTTATTTTTAATAGTAAAACAGATATCAGTAGTTCATATTTGGGTATAAATTTTATCATTTATTAATTAAACACACCTAATATTTCATCATCACTGCCTTCAGGTAATTTTAATGATGCTCTAAATATTTCATCCAACATTTTAGGGTCATCTATCTTGCCTGATTCACTGTCAAATTTAAGCTGAAAAATAATGTTAAACAAAATTTAATTTTGGAGGAATAAGTTATAACTTTTTATGATAACACAAACCTCAGAGAGATTTTTAACCAATTTACTATCCCATTTTTCTTCAATATCACGCTCCTGTTTTATTTTTTCAAGCTTTTCACTTAAGATAGAAGCAAATTTTTTAGGTTCCATTGCTGGAGTCTAAGAAAAAAATAGTAGAACATATTAAGTAATATTAATAAAAAGGAGGTTAAAATTTATTTACGCACAATGCATTGCGGTTCTCTCATTGTTCGAGGTATAATAGCAGTTGTCATTGAACTTTCAACGTTTTTGCGTGCATACTTTTGTACCTCTTTCATTTCTAACTGAGCACTTTTTTTTGCTATTGTTTTTGGATCTCTTAACTCAGCTAATTGCCTAATAGACATAAACATTAAAATTAACTACTACATTTATAACATGGTATACTAGTACTTACAATTTTTTTGGAGAAAGGGAAAATAGCTAAATTCAAATAAAACTATAAGACTTACCTTCTTAAACAATCAGTTGATACTGATGCTTCACTTAAACTTGCCAAATCACTATCCTGAGCTGAAGTTGGATTATAAGACACATGCGTTGCTCTGGGTTTAGTACCCCACCAAGATTGATGATAGGGAGTACTGGGATTTGGATTATAGATGCCCATTTTGGAAGTCTTTGCTCTACAATTAAGTTATCAAGCAAAAGGATGCAATACAACACAATAACAACAAATTATTTTTCATATACAAAATTAACAAAAAATATTTGAAACTTAAAAGTAATTGTGATCTTATTTAATTGAAAAATAAATTTTTATTTTTTAATGATATAAGCTACAAGTGCACTCTAGAACTATGCAGTTACTCTAACATGATTGAAAACAAAAACTAAGAAAATAAATAGTTTACCTACAAATTTTATAATTATACTTAGATTAGATTTTATATTTACAAAATATTTTACTTGACAACAAGACAATACTCCAACAACTTTAAATTTCCATGCATTTAATGCTAAATTGAAATATTTAATGTTTAAATTACCTTTGCAGAAATTCTCCTTTTTCTAAGTGAGAGCGTTGTTTTTGTGACATGTGTAAAAGAGATTGGGTTAATTTCATAGGAAAATCTTTTGATTTAAGGTCTTGATTAGATAACTCAGCATCTTCTTTGAGGGTCATCAATGGTTGATTTCGTTCTGGTGGAGCTCGATATCTAGTAGGTATAACTTTTTCTTCCGTGTCAGGTATGTGGTTAATTACTTTTCCATCATAAAAGCTAAAGAATTAAAATAATAGTTAAAAATTTAAATATTTAATTATTTGATTTTTTGAAGACAAACTTTATGCCACAATCTAATGAACGGATATAAGAAATATAAGTTTCAGATTGTAGAAATGCTGGGTAGAGTGTATCATTTAAAAATGTTTCTACTTGAACAAGAGCTTCATCAAAAAGATGTTTAGGAAGAGGAGTTTTAGTTGCCATTGAATTTTTTACTCTCTGCATGACACGCATTCTGCACTGTTCATTAACACCTAAATCTGCTTTCAAAAAAAGCTTTCTGAAAAAAATAAAAATAAATAAATAACTTTATTAATTGATTTTTTATTGCCTAAAAATATTTACTTATAAATTATAGAACGTAGTTTATCAGCTTTTTGATCAGTATGACCATATAATCCTTGGCATGCCAACCAAAATTCAAGCACTTTGCTACATTGCTGACCCTGTCCAGCTTCTTCTTCAAGCTTTAAATGTTGTCTAAAGAGATTTACACCGTCAGGGTCAGCTAATAAACTATCTAAATTTCGAGCCCATGACATGGGCCCAGAAGAATTTGGGGCATCATTAGGAGATAATGAACCATGATCCCCACTGTCACCATCAGCTGGTTCGTAATCGTGGCGAGAACCATGACCACCTAATAACAAAATAAAATTATGTATTTTACTGAATTAATTGATTAATGAGGACTGACTAATTTAATTAAGATGATATGTTTTTCCTTTTTTATAATAAAAAATATTTGACAAACAATTACAAAGTAAATTTTTAATTATTTTCTAGTGCCATAATTTATATTATTAGGCATAATTAGTTTGGCTTTTTTATAAAAAAATTATCCTCAACAAAAATTTAACTGTAAAAAAATTCCATCCTCTTTCCTTCCAAAAAAGTTCGCCTATTAAAGTAGTGAAAACTACATTGTGGCAAAGTTTGCTTTTTATTTAGTTTATAAATTTCAATCTTACGCTAGTAACACTCCTTCATTATTTGTGCTGCTTAAAACTCTGCCATTTTTTGAATGAAGCATAAAACAGGTTTTTCTACAATTTATAATAAAGCTGCAGGAGAACCTTTTTTTGTCTCTCATTCTCATTTTCCATGTAATTCCTAAATATTTACTAAACCCGTATTTATAATATCTAAATTTTTACTGAGTCAGTAACTGACCAAGTATTAAGCAATCAAATGTAGGAGCAATGCTCTTATTGAAAGTAGTTTTAAAGTTTAAGTTTAACGAAAGAGCAAACTTAGTCACAAAGTCATTACTTTTAAATATCACTATTTTCATATGTAGACATTTTTAGGAGAGAAAAGGATAAAGCTTAGAACTTTTTCAGAGTTAGGATTTTGTTGTGAATTACATTACTTCAGCTGACTTACGCCAGTAACATAATTCATTTTCTAAACCACTAAAAAACTATCTTTATAAAAAAATATATTTCATAAACCCATTTAGAAAAAATAAAAATGAAACTTATACAATAAATAAAAGTTCTTTGACCATCTCTTTTTTTAATATAAAACTTTTGATTTTATGTTTTTATAATATGCTCAAAATCTGTTAAACTAATATATTTTGTGAATGAAAAAAAAAATAAAAAATTTATATAATGTAATAAAGCTCAAATCATAATTGTTTATTTAATTTAAATATAAAACTTGTTTGCAACTACTGTACTTCCTTAAGTTATCCTTGTTAGAGAATCACTCTATATAAAAGTATTTACAGGAGACATAAACTTACTTAAGTTCAATAAGAAATTTAAGTTATTTATATACAACTTCATGAATAATGGTCCATAAAAAAAATGTCCACATTTATGATAAAATTACTTTTGAGCATTTAAATTTATGCTTTCAGACAAGCTAAGACATTTGGATATATTAAGCTATTTTTTAATTATATTAAAACATTTTATTCATAATGTTTTGTAATGAAATCCATTAACCTACACGGAAAAATTAATTTCAACTCAAAATCAGTTCATACCATTAAAACATTATTCATCTGTTGTTATTTTCCAAAAGAAGGATATAATAGTTTTGGATAAAAAAAAAAAATCCCTAATTTCAATTAAAGCTCTATAAATTGGCAATTTTGAATTCAAAAAACAATCCTGTTTGATTAAATTTGCTCTCAGTTTTTTTTAAACATAAGAGAAAATATTCTTCATTAACCAAATTATAAAAAATCACAAAAACAATTTTGATATCTTAGAGTTTTGGATAATAAATTCTTTACAAACTATAGATTTTATAAATCATAAAAAATAATACATTACCTTGAAATATCTAAAAAATATGAAGTACTTTTATCAAAAAAAAAAATCAAGTTTATTCTTAGAAAACATCTAAAAGGGATAAAATTTTACACTAAAAAAAGCTTGCAATAAGTGAAAACAAAATAATATCTTCATAATTAGAGATTAAAAGTGAATATATTATCTAAAATATATTCTGTTAAATTTTTTTATTATATTACACTTATTAAATAATTATTATTTTAATTTTTACCATAATCTTGAATGTTGCAAGAACAGTTTTTTGAACTTGATAGTATTTTTCTGCATTTTAAACATTTATTATCTAAACATACGGTATATTTAAATATATTAATTTATATATAATATAAATTATATTAATATTAATTAATATATATATATTATATAAATAGGTATATTTAATTAAATTTGAAAAATTACTATATCAATTAATAATTTTTTTCATCAATACTTACCACTTATATTATAAAGATACTTTTGACCCGCACAGAGCTTATCTTTAGAGTTTCGCTCAGACTCTTCTCCCAGTAAAACTTTAGGTCTGGCGGTGTCAATAAGTAGGTTATTGTTCATCATACCAAAAGATAAGGAGCTATCTTTATCAAGCTCCTTGTTACTTTTGTTACAGGCATTTCGATAAAGCACTAAAACAAATAAAATAATGATTTCTATACATAATTTGTTATACAAAAAAGTATTTTAATGACAAGCCCAATAAGTAATTTACTAAATTATGAAAATAAAATGGCTGCCATTTGGAAAAATTGATTGTTAGATTTTTTTGCTAATAAAATCACAAACAAACAAAATAAGAACTCAAATTTCTCTAAACCCCATATTATTATAATACATAATTATAAATATTAATAAATATATATAATTAATATATCTTAGTTATATTATTACTGTAATATGATTAAATACAATATTATTAAACTTTGGATGGATAACCAATAATATATATTATTATTAAACATAAAAGAGACAAATACTTTAAAATAAATTGTACACAATACATACCCAACTCCATAATATATAAATAAGATTAATCTTTAAAAAAGAATAATAATAAAAATATAATATGGGTGCAAACAACGCAAACCGGACTCTAATGTTAACGATCGATGAAGCGGTATTGCGCAGAATCAGAACATACGTTATGGATACTGCAGTTAAAAAAACACCCGTTTAATCGATATCAAATAAATATCCAATAGGAAAATAAGAGAACAATAAATTATAAAAATATGATATGCACTCTAGAAGTGGGGTCTTATATATAATACAATAGTAGAGGAAATTATGATTTTTTAAATCAATTCATATGTCTATCAATGAAATATGAGTGGCAGGAGGCCAGGTAGAGATCCTCCATCCTTTATACAAGATCTTTTTTAAACCAATATCACAGTATCTACTGAAGCAAGTAATTCAATAAATGATGGTGAAAAATTACTTCAAGCATTAAACAAATTATAAGAATAAAAATTATTTTACATATAGTGGTCTAAATGAAAGATTAACATGCTTTATAATTAAACTACTAAAATTTAAGTAATCTAAAAAAATTTAAAGAATTACTAAAATATTAAGATAATTTTTTTCACAAAAAATATTTAGAAATAAATGAAATATATAAACGAAAAAACTTTTATTTTTTAAATAAATATAAATTTTAATTTTCATAAATGTGTTTTAATATTGACAGAATTTTATGACTAAATTAATTAATATTATTTAAAAAAAAGAATTGCTTTAATTAATTTTTAACACAAAAAAACTCATAAGAATGCAAGACCTATTCATTTATTTAGTATAGTACTAGGTTACTTATTATTAGAGTGCCGATTTCTAAGCAACTTTTGTTAATTTGTTTCAAACATATCATTAACCAGTATAAATTGTATTATTTGGTATGAAAATTAGTAACGTGTTCTAACGGAGGTTAAGTATTGGGGAAACTAATCCTCTCAATACTGGTGGAATACTCCTATTCCATTTTAAAACGAAAAATATTTCTATGCCACTATACAGACGATTTTTTATAAATCACTTAATCGAAAATAAAAATAATATTGGGTGATTTTATTGGTTTCTTTTAAATTTATCAATCATAAAATAATTTTTACGTTCATCCCTTGTATTTTATAAAGGTATCGACCTAATTTTTTAAACGACAACATACATAATTAGTCAGCAGAGCCTAATTTATGAAAGGACATTTGGTACATTTATACAGAGCTCACTCAAAAGTTAACTAATATTTGTCAGGGGCCTCCCTTTTGAGTTGGCCCTATACAATTGTACCAAATGTCCTCTGACAAATATTAATTGTATACTACCATTTATAATTATTCAGGATAAATAAAATTTTGACTAGTTACCAAAAACGGGTAAAAATTTATAATAAAAATAAATATCGCAGCAAACATAAGTATTGACGACAATATTAATAAGTTATAACAATATAAGTTGTCATTTATTTTTATACATTTTACTGAATAAAAGAAAGATTGTTATTTGTTTATTTATGTACTTTGTTTTTATCATTATTTTATATTTAATACATATACAACATCAGGGCTGTATTTTTTAGAAAGTTACGCAGGGTTTACGTAGATTACGTACAACTCACATAAAAAATATTTAAATAAACATATGGTGTTCTACCGTGATTTATTAATTGTAACAATAGTTTATATAGTCAAATTAGTAAATCACGGCGAAACACACTGTATAGTCAGAATTTTAGATACAATTATAAAACCTTATTTTCGCTTACTATTACATTTATTTGACAAGATGTCAAAAATTTGTGTATGACACTCCCTAAAAAAATTAAAATTTTACATTTTAATATACAGAGTGATTTATTTATTGTTGGCTAAATTTCTTCTAAAATAATAATAGTTTTGATATTTTTGACTCATTCAAGTAGTATTTATTTCTTTAGTATTTATTAATCTACATTTTACATGTACCATGAGGGTGAAGCTTGCAAGGGGTCCAACGATGTGTGCTCTATATTACTAGATTATATAAATAACAATATTAATTCAGATATAAAAGAATTATACTTCTTTTGTGATGGTTGCCCGGGCCAAAACAATATTAATACCGTTATACGATTTTTGCTAACATTGACAGATTTACCACTTTTTCCCACAAAGAGGTCATACATATTTACCTAACGATCGGGATTTTGGAGTTATAAAAAAAAAATAAGAAAGCATGATCGTAAATATGTGCCAGATGAATATATTAAAATAGTAAATGAATACAGTGAAAAGTTCAAAGTAATAAAGTTTCAGACGGATCAAGTTTACGACTTTAAAAAATGGTGGCCATCATACTACAAAAAGACATGTTTATCTGTTGAGACATTTGGAAAAAAAGTTCCAAAAGACCAAAATCTTTTGCCCCATCCACATACATGAGTTTCGAATATAATACAAAATATAAAGGTATTGTATTCACACATAATTTTATCGGTGGGTTATCAAAACACACATTCAAACTATTAAAATTAACAAATAACAATATAGCATTGCCAATAGCCAAGGTGTAATAAAATGTCAATAAACTCTCAAAAAATTAAAAACTTAAGACAAGTTAAAGAAAGTATAATCAAGGAGCATAGGTTATTTTATGAAGAAATATATAAATGGCCAACTGCTGATGAACAAAATATGGAAGCTGAAAATGTAGAACTTGATGGGGAATATGATTACGTACCATGACAATTTTAAAAATATTATGTATTAACGTATTTTTTATTTTTATTAAGTTTTGATCAGTTGTTTTTAATAATTTAATGTTAGTTTAGATTTTTTAATTGTATTTTAATTTTTATCAAGTTTCATTCAAAAATGCTCTTGTATTGTAACATTTTGTCAAGTCAAAAAAGTTAAGTTTTTGTTGTTTAAGAAAAAAGAAATATTTTATTTTTTGTAAAATAATATGTACTATGAAATGTGCAATGGTTTATTTTATATTGTTTTTTGTTAAGTTTCAATCAGTTGTTTTTAAACTTTGTTACTTTTTGTAAAGTTAAAAAAAGTTAAATTTTTTTATTTAAAATAAAAATTATTTCAGTTAGTGTAAAAATATTAACATTACTGTATTTATCTATTTTATTTTATTTCTTGACTTAGATTGAATATTATAAATTTCTATTGACTGCAAAAACAACGTAAGTCAAATATGTTTTATCTGAATTTTATACATTTTGGTAAAAGTTAGACTATTTAAAACTATGGATTATGAATATCAGAGATCTTAAAAATAAATTTGTAAATAGGTGTAAGTGAAAAAAAATTCGAATTTCTGGAGTAATTGAGTTTTTTTTTGGTTCTTGAAAAATTTGAATTTAATGACTTATGTCGTTTTTGAAATGACCAATTCAAATAATAATTTAATGACTGGTCAATAACAACTTTTGGAAAAGTAATTTGAAAATTATTAACATTTTATAGTTATGGCTGGAGGTGACACGCGGATGTTAATATTGTTATAACTAGTCATTTCTCGGCCACAATTTTCCTTCCACCTAGATATAAAAATGTTAATAACTCTTGAAAAACTGGTCCAAAAGTTGTTATCAACCAGTGATTTTTTAAACCAGTTCATTATCTATTAAATAAATAAGCTAGTTAGTTATGTAAGTAACCACGTGAAAAAATAAAGTTGACACCCTTATAATGTATTAAGGATAAACATAAAAATACTTTATTGAGAAATTGAAAAACATTTGTACCTTAAAGGAACCAAAAAAGAATTCTCAATATTATTTTTATTTATCGATTAATTATGTTGTTCATTATAAATTATCTTGTATATACCAACAACAAAGTTGGGTCTTTTTAAAATCAAAATTGTAAGCTGTTAAGAAAAAATTTGTAGTTTATTTTTGATTAGGATTTCCATTAACTAAGTTTTTCTTAGATATATGAAAGATTCATATGTCAAATTATATCATATTATTATTAAACATTTCCTTTACATTTAAGGCGTATAGTTATTAATTATGAAAATACATTTTTAATATAGAAAATGCAAATGAAATAATAAACCCCAAGGCGTCCGGACAATCGGTGACAAAATTCTCTTTGTCCTCTTCGGGTTGGTAAATATTACGTTGAACTGATTAATTTTTCACAAAACCTAGCGCAAAGATGGTTTTTGCTATAGCAGCTATTTTAATATAGAATAAAAGATTTACTTATATTATATCCCTAAGAATAAATAAAACAATTTATTTTATAGAGCATAATGTATATCGAAGAAATTGTAATTTTTATCAAATAAACGCTTTTTATATATAATCAGTATTTTATTTATTGTACTGATCAGTTCAAATATGATCTAAAATGACTTAATTATGGAGCAGCAAGGCATCCTGAGATAATATTAATTTAATGTAGTTCGCGTTGCATAACTAAATATTGTTGTAAAAATATTTCAAAAATAGTTAAAAAGAAAAGAAATTTAAAAAAAATGCAAGTACCAATAATTGTTTATTATCATATTCGATCAATTTAACACACTAAACGTTCAACTAAGGGTTAATAGTTAACTAAAGACAGAAATAGAAAATATTGACTTTTGAAAAATTGATGGCACGGGGAAAATAAAATTTTATTGT